TTTTAAGAGTTTAAGAGTTTTAAGAGTTTTTAAGAGTTTTAGCCAAATGCTTTATAATATAGTATAGATATATATATATATATATATATATATATATATATATATATAAAACATCACCTATTTCTATAAATATCCTTTTAGACAACTGAATGCTTATCTCCAGAGTTGGTGAAATCCTTGATTTCTTCTATCTATAAATTTTTTATTCGTTTCTTCTAGGTCTATTTAAAATAATTTAAATTAGATTTTTTAACCGAATTTTTAAATTCAATATTCAATTTGTTTCTATAAAAACAAAAATTCCAAATATTTTTTGCGATATGTTAAACTTATTTTTATGTTCAATATAATATGTACACAAATATTAAATTTAAACCACCGTCGGACTTTTCTTTAAAAAAAAAAAACTTAAAAAAAAGTACTGTACATGTTTTTGTAATTATGGTTTTTGAAATTTAATATTTAAAAAAACTTAGAAAACTTCCAACAACTTAAAATAAACTCATATTTTTTTTATTATAAAATATTGAAAATCTTGTTGAAATTTCGAAAAATTTGATGTAAAATTCATAAAAACTTAATTTTTTTTTTTTAATCGGACCTATAAATAATCGGTCATCAATCGAATCAGATCGGACTCTGAATTCTCGTAAAAACCATAACCGGCAACCAATCATCTGACGGGTCCGATCCCACTCCTGCACCGCTCCCACATCGAGCCGGACTCATTTTAGCCAATCTCTATTTGGCGGTATACACAACAATCCAATGTAACCGTCACCTTCTAAGAGGTGGTGACGGCAGTCGGCGCAGACGATAGCATCTATGCCAATCTCAACCACCTCGGCAAAAATATATTTAAAGGTTACTATTTGCACTTAAACCCCCACACTATTTGTTTTTGGCACTTAACCCCCTTGTACTTTTTTCAATTGGTTTTTCTATTTAAATCATGTAAACCAAATTCACATTGTCAAAAAGGTAAACATGTACAAAGACTACTCTTTTTTGGTGTTTGTTGATTTACATTGAATAAGTAAACTTCCTCTTTGAAGAATCTTTTTTTAATCAAATATATTGACAATATGACTAGAAAGGTATAACTGTATAATATCGTATAAACATTATTATCATCAAGTTAAAATCAACGACAAATTAAAATTATTTGGTTGATGTAATGAACTATGAAGGTAGAACTACACATATGACATATGGAACATGTGTGTACAATGACATGATTACCCCCACGATAAGTGTTAACCCGAAGGGATCTAACATGTGCACCCAAGGAATTTGGAGCCTGGTTTTTGTCTCGGCTTGTAAAGATGCAAGAATATAAGACTAATCTTTGTTAACCGCTTACGTTAAATATGAACAAGAAAGATAGGCGCGTTAAGATAACAAAAGAAAATAATATTTCCAAGAAAACTACTAATACTAGGTGTTGCTCCTCGTTATACATATGTAGGCATAAGAATGAACGGGGATAGGGCGAGGACCTCAATCCCCGTCCCCGATTACATATCTCTATCCCCGTCCCCGTCCCCATCCCCATCCCTGCCGGGGAATATAATCACATCTCCATCCCCATTTTTTTCCCGTTTATATAAGTTATTTTAAATTAAATATGTGAGAGACCATATATGTTTAAATCTCAAACATTTTCAATAAACCTAAAACTAAAATGAATTTAATTTAATATAAAAAAAACCACAACATCGTATAAGAGCTAATAACCTAAAACCAAAAAAAAAAATCAATTAAATCCAAAAAAACTTAAAGTCACATGTACCAAAAGATATTGAGTAATATACAAAACTTATCGAGTAATTGTATTTTGACTTGACATCCAAAATATTACATATTAACATCCAAAAAATAACAATTTTAGATTATAAACCTAGTTAGGAAATTATAAACTACTGATTTAGTTGAAATAAATAATATACATATATATATATATAATTTATTAATATATATATATATATATAACTGGTACGGGACGGGGAAGGGAGTACCATACCCGTCCCCGTCCCCATCCCCGTTGTAGCGGGGAATCCCCGTCCCCGACCGGGGCGGGTGGACCGGGTTCCCAGACGAGTCGGAACCCATTCTCATGCCTATACATATGTTGTCACTATTCGATCATTGTTGTTCCTATTTGTACATAAATTATTGCATCAATGTGTATGTTTACGTTTGTGCATCATTATTTTTTTTATAGATTCGTTATGCACAACATATGTTCTCTAAATAATCATTTAGAATTACAATTGCTTAGCTCTAAGTTTTTTCTACATTTGCTTTAACTTAGTATCAGAGCTAATGATATGCCTCAATCAAACCCCTCTTTATCCTCTGATATTACTTCATCTTCCGTAATTCTTTCATACCCATCTGAATCATGGTTTCTTTGCGAAACTAGACACCAACAATATACTATTTTGAAGAATAAACTACTCATCATGATCATCTCTTAAGTGTCGAAAGGCTCGATGGATCAACACCTCAACCACCCAAATTTTTTACTTATGGATCCACTGAAATTAACTTGGACTTTGCTCTATGATATCGATATAACCAACTTATTTTGAGTTGGATCTACTCTTCTTTACTCTAAATCGATGCTCATCCAGATTGTTTCATGCACTATCACTAAGAAAACACCAAACTCTTTTCGCTAGATTTACTCAACATATTCAATGGCTAGAGTAACAAAGCTTCAAACTTCACTGTTGTTAGCTCCTACTTCACATAAATACACCCATAACACTTAAACTTCTCTTGGTTTCCCTCTAGATATCGAGATAATTAAGATGGATGAATATTAAATTTCCCTATTTCTCCATATGAAGCGTATTAGGGAAGTTGAATCTCCCATTTACTCCCACCCTCAACCAGTTCTTACTATCTCCTACTTGAACTCTTATCTACTAACGAACCCGACTGTAAGGTGATACATGCATTATATGTGATAAAATCTTTTAAGCATGCCAAATAATACAAGTTATGATGTTGTGCATGAAATGTTTTTGGCTACATATGAGGGGTCATATTCCCAGATGATGATACTATCAGGTAAGAGGCTATGAAAATGCACACATTCCATACATGTATCACAAGGGTACCTCCATGTACTCAATTAAGATGTATGTTATCAGGACATATTGTGTTCACTGTACTTTGCAAATTTGATAGATAGATACACACCCACACTATGCCAATTAAAAATTGCAATCTCATATGTTCACTTATTTATGCTTCTTGCATGCAATAATTCAACTTACCCATATGTATACTTGAGCTCGTCTCACACTTTGACCTACGTGACCTCACTAGCAAGTTCATACTACACTTATATTGATCATCTTTGCAACCTGATCTACGTAAGCTCAAAGTTAGGTTCATTGCATATAAGCTATCTGAAGATCTAAGCCATACAAACCCATTTCTACGCTATTTTTCATTCGTTTTGCATCGTGATGACATTAATATGAAATAATAACATCTAGCACTCTTAAACTTCAATTAAACCAGCATATCATGCTTCAATCAAACACAGATTAACTACTGATGGCATACAATATGTAAAACATTCATATCTTGACGAATTCATGGCCTTAAGGCCATGTTCTCATCCCATTTGTTTACCAAAATGTTCAAAAATACTACTTTAGAGTTATGCATTAGAACTTACTTTTAATTTGATGATGAATACTTGCACTCTTTGAAAGTTCTTTCTACTTATTTGCGAGGAATTTTCTAAAATTCTAGAGAGGGGTCATTTTGTCATATATAACAAGTGTAGGGGGGTAAAATGAAACTTTTCCTGTTTGTATCCATTCTACCTTACGTGGCTGCTTACATGGTTGGCCTGCATTTGAAAATTCAATGGAAGATCTCTTCTTCCACCCGCATCTATAGATACAAAAAGGTTAATGTATAGGTACGACTGAGGGTGCACACGAGCATTGACTTTTGACTTTTTGTTCATATGTTTTACACACAGTGAATTGAAAGAGGGAATAAGGAGGAGGTTGATGATGATGGTGATGATTGTTAAAATCGTGTTTCTTACTTCATGATAACATGGAGGAAACAAACGTCTCAATTGCCGATTCAAATGTTGACAAAACGTTAGTAAACGCGACGACTCCTCAAACCCCAAAACCTTCAATTCTTAGTACTTGATTGATCATCGTTGCTTTTTTTTTTTGGTGATTTTTGTTGCAAATTTGCTTGATCATGAGCAAATTCTTTAGTAAAAGAAGGTTTCATCTCTCCTCCCCTGCTAATCTCATGCCTTCGTTTTCTTCTAGTTCTGATTATAACAATAATTCGTCGAAGAAGGCTAATTCTTCGTCGTCTCCGTGTTCATCTTCGTCGTCGCCGTGCGAGTCTTCAATGAATGGGGGGTTTTCTTCTCCGCAGTCGCAGAAGAGGCTCACCAGGCAGCGTAAACTCCGTCACGTGACGGTGGAGAACTTTTGTATGCCGGAGGAAGATGATGGCGATAGGTCAAAATCGTTGCCTGGTTCTCCGAATTCGGAGTCAAGGTCGTCCCACCGATTGCTGCAGCACTGGTCCTTGTCTGCCGTTCCGCAACCATTACCACTTCCTAATGATGAATTCCGGTTTCATGCCGAAGAATATAGCAGAGGAGATGGACGGTAAGTTTCTGTCGTTTTTGAATCATAAATAACATTTCACCATCTTAGGGATTATCACTTGGGACCACAAATGTTTTGTTGATGATTATAGTAAAATCAAGAATACTTCCACATTCCAAATATCTACTATTGCATCCATACTCAAAACATAGCTGCAATTTGACACTAGACTTCATACCATTTCATTTTCAATTTTAAAAGTTTATGGATTTTAAACTATTTGGGGGAAAATTTGCCATCTTAAAGTTGATCCATTCACCAAAGTTGGTGCAAATTGGTGGCAAAATCAAATGTAAATTCTACATGTGGCAAATACCAGGTTAGGCAATTGAAAACTTTCTGAAGTTCTTCTATTTGGGGAAAAATTTCCATGTTAAAAGTGTATCTATTTGGGTGATTTAATTTCTAAAGGGGGATTAAGATTATAGTGCCTGCAGAAATCTTGGAGATTTGCTTCTCACTAAATCTTGAGTTCGGTTGAATTGAATCTCAAAACTGCAGTTGCAGATCACATCAATGTGGGATGAATCCTAAGGCTTGTGGTGACTTGATATCATCTAAACCTTCAACTTACCATCGCCGGAGAGGTTATCCTCAAGACGTAAATGGCGAAAAAGTTGGTTGTGGCATCAGGTTGGATGTTCCTCCTAGGAGTGCCCCAGCTACTACCTTCACTAGTCCTGCACTTAGCCCCAAAAGATTTAGTACCGTCGATATTTTTGATTCTGCATTTGCTGTTCCTCAAGAGCTTCGTGTGTCACCACCTTCAAGACGTTCTCCAGTGCACAGTCCACCATCACAAAGTCCTTATCTGAAAGTTCATCTACTTAACAACAAATCTCCACCAGAAAGGACCGAAAGCAACAACACTAATGTTCACCCACTTCCCCTTCCACCTGGAGTTTCAAGACCTGTTTCTAGTCGTCGAAGTTTGGATAAATCAGATGGGCAATCAACAAAGGGTCAATGGCAAAAAGGGAAACTTCTGGGACGTGGTACCTATGGCAGCGTATATGAAGCAACCAATCGGTATGTCATATGAATTGAACAGAACTTTAAATTACTTTTGCTGCAGTGTGTTTAATGTTTTTGTTTTTTCTCTTTGCAGTGAGACAGGGAGTTTGTGTGCATTGAAAGAAGTTGATGTCATTCCTGATGATACCAAATCATCAGAATGTATAAGGCAGTTGGAGCAGGTCATTCTTCTGAACCATGTTTATCGTTGAACATATTTGTGCATTAGTATCTGTTTTGTGTATGCATCCATATATTTATTCCATGGCTTTAAGTTTGAAGGCATATATTTTCATCTTCCATGACTTGCGAAGAATAGTAACTCCATTGTTTTGTGGATAGCATTATCTGTGATGTTGTTATCAGTATATGCAGCATGTATAGCGAATTATGTATTAAACAAATTCAGAAACTTCTTTCAGGAATGTAGAATTTGCATTGCTAGTATCCACAAATATATACTTGAATAATATGCTTAAATTTGCAAATTTAGACAAACAAACTACCATGATTTTATCATAATAGTCCAGTAAAATTGAATGCATTTCGTCATATACATTTTTATATTGTGGAATCCTTTGAGCTTTGCATTTTCTTTCATCAAAAAGTGCTTCTCTCCAAGGAACGATTCCCCCTAGCAAGAAAGTACTGATTAGCCTCACAAAAGAGGATTATTGCTCGGCATCTTTAAGTTGACAATCTATACTCTTTGCATATTGTTTTTCTTAATGTTAATGTGTATGTGATTAGAACCTCAAATATTTGTAACTTGTTTGTTGATGATCATGCTAATCATTTATTTCTTTACTTTGATATTCACATGAAGGTGAGTGATTGAAGGTAGTTTGAAAAGATACTTAAATATATTTCTTTTTCTCAAACAATCTATTTGTTTCAGGAAATAAAAGTTCTACGAAATTTAGAACATCCAAACATTGTACAATATTTGGGTTCTGAAGTGGTGAGTTTCTTTAGGTTTCATTTGTTTCGATTCCTTTCAATATTGTTAAAGATATTTTTAACAACAGAAATTATGTCCTCTATGCAGGTTGAGGATAAATTTTGCATATATTTGGAGCATGTGCACCCTGGGTCAATAAGTAAATATGTGCGGGAACGCTGTGGAGCTGTAACAGAATCGGTAGTTCGAAATTTTACACGTCATATTCTTTCAGGATTGGCTTATTTGCACAGCAAGAAGACAGTTCACAGGTGATGATTATTCTTTGCAAAAATGGATAATTGAAAATATTGCAGTTAAAATAGAGTGAGAGAAGGCTTGGAAAACAAACACACCACAGTGGGATTGCTATGTACTCCCTGAATGTCAGATGCTATGCAAACACAATTTAGAAATAGACCTTGTTGGGATGAATTTACATGGTTTTCTTTCTCTCTTTCCATCTTTCGCTAGCAACAAAGATGAAAAAAATTTGTGTATATATATATATATACACATATTTCGTGGTGATTGTAACTATAATGATAGTTATATTTACCATTACAAGCTCTTAGTAAATCAGATGTGTATGTGTTAAATAGGGATATTAAAGGAGCAAATTTGCTTGTTGATTCATCTGGTGTGGTGAAGCTCGCAGACTTTGGATTGGCAAAACATGTGAGCTGAGAAATAGTAAATCTTTATTTTTGTTTCTTTCAACTTAACCACCTCTAGCATGAATCTTTATCTTTGTCTATTGGTTTCTTTTATTGTGAATAACTTATCTTCTCTTTCTTTGAAGAAGTTTCATCATGCCGGTGTTATTGGTCCTAATAGTTATCCTCTTGTATTGTTACAGCTCTCTCCACATGTAATTGATCTTTCGTTAAAGGGTACTCCACACTGGATGGCTCCGGAGGTACCTCTTGTCATCACAAATTTAGGCTTCCTGTTTAGATTTCATAAAAATGGTCATCCTTAGCTCTTTTGTGCAGGTTCTGCAAGCTGCTATGCGAAAAGATACCAATGAACATACGTATACCATGGATATATGGAGCTTGGGATGTACAGTGATTGAGATGGTGACTGGGAAACCTCCTTGGAGTGAATTGAGTTCGGTAGGTTTCTATTTAACTTTTAAGACGAATAGTGTTTTTAGTTTTACTTTATGATATTTTCTGTTTCATCATTTATCCAACATATGTATCATTTCGTTAGGTGCAAGCGATGTTCAATGTATTGCACAGATCCCCACCTATACCAGAAACATTGTCATCAGAAGGGAAGGATTTCCTCCATCGATGCCTGCAGAGAAATCCTGAAAATCGCTCAACGGCTGCTTTGCTACTTGAACATCCTTTTGTGCGCAACTCATTTGATCACAATCTTGCACTCTGCAACCGAGAGGTTTCTGGTCTGAGATCGAATGTAAGTTTCAATGTCTCACTTACTGCTTTCATGAATATCTTGTTTATTGTATTATACTTATTTATTTATCATTCTAAATGCTCAAATTAGACTACTTGTTTTGTATGCCAGGAAATATCCTATAATCCAAGAGACTCGCCTGCACACCACAAAGATATACCAGGCACTTGGGTCCGACATGGAAGACTGCAGTTTCACCGGTAAGCTTTTCACCTCCGCACCACACGAGTGGTGAAAAATTTCTAACTTGTAAGATGAACAATCAATAAGATTGTACAGTATCTGCTAAAATTCCCAGTGGAATCATTCTTAGAATCATACAAACCTTTATGGAGCAGAGGGAGTAAAAGAGACCAAAATTTATGTTGTCTTTTTTTTTTCTTTAGTGAAACACCCAAACATCTGCAACCAAAGACTACGAGGGACCATTCGCCAGCCACCCGTCACTCTCCAAGGTCTACCCTTGAAGCTCTTCCTTGTGTTTCTTCGTCTGAATTCAACTTCAGTCCAACCCGTTGGGGCAATTCACGAATTCCCAATCGTATGCCAGCCGAAGGTGGCAGAACATACTCTCTTCCAACAACCCCCAACAGGGAAACCTATCTGTTATAAACGATTCTTTTTCCTGCCAATTAATTAACAACAGATTGCATAAGGAAGTAGAATTTAGGGTACAACCTAGTCATGATTCATTATGTGTTCAAAAGGATTCAAAAGGTATGTAGGTTCATAAATGGTGTGCAACACAGTAGGTTGTCTGTTGCACCAGTAGAGGAATTGTTGTTACTGATTATTTGTATATGCTTGTATTTGAATAGCATTTTTACAAAGTATGTTGTTGTATATATGATCCTACACATTTCTTTCGTTCTTGGTAAAATCAATGTATCGAATAGGGATTTACGAGCTACTATATGTAATATTGTGATGGCAATATATACCGATTTAATTACTTTCCTTTGAATTTTGTATGATAGATTACTCTCACAGTTGCCTCTTTTACTGCTACATCACTTGTTCAAAATACAATTGTGATTAACTTCTCTAGCAGCTGAAGAAAGGTGGAATCTATTTAATCTATATACGGAAAATTAGACTTTCGCATGCTTCTCATCTTTTGTGAGACTTTAGGGGCCGTTTACCTACAAGAGACATCATCTTCATTTAGAGGCCTTTTACCAAACTCTTACCCGGGTAATTGCTTACTCGACAAAATTCAACACTGTTATTTACTTATCGGGTAAGATTTTAGTCTACCAATGCAACAATTTACCTGGTAAGCACTAACCATGGTAAGAGTGCTCTCACTTACCGGGCAAGACTCTCGGTCCTTGCTTTCTCTCTTATTGGGTAAGTTTCTTGGTATTTGCCATATCCATCCAGTAAGGTAATGTGACTTGGTAAGTGCTTACCTAGGGTAAGCGTTTGGTAAACGGCCTATTTTATCATGTAACATTCTCGACCATCAAAATGGGTTGTTGGTAAGCATCTTAAACCCGTAAAACGCTTACCGGGTAAGACCCTCGGTCTTTGCTATGGATGGGTTACTTTTTATTAGCATTGGAATCACATTACATTAATTAAAAAAAATTAACCAAATTCGTCTGATGTAGAGACAATCAAGAAAGCCACATAAATAAATATATAGCCTAAAAAAATGGGCTAATCCAACCAATCTTACCTGTAATCAAATAGCTATTGCACCACCAATAAAAAAACCATGTTCACAAGTCCTTGTACATTTGCATTTAGAAGAATTCCATTTGGCTTTTGTAGTGCTCCAACAACTTTTCAAACATGTATGATGCCCATATTTTTTTATATGCTTGTAAAATCCATAGAAATCTTTCTCGATGATTTTTCTGTGTATGGATCATCATATGATCAATGTTTGCATAATCTTGAACAAAGTCTTGAAAGGTGTGAAGCAACTGATTTGGTCCTAAACTGAGAAAAATGTCATTTTAACGTTAAGGCTACATTTTTAAGTTTGGTCTCTCGGGCCGTTGTACCTTTTGATTATGGCATTAGAAGTTTTCTTGGGCATGCTAAACCAAAAATAGGAGTCGAGGTAGATAAGACTAAACTTGAAGTTATTGAAAAAACTACCTAAACCAACCACTGTAACAGGCATTAGAAGTTTTCTTGGGCATTGAACTTTGTTCACAGGTTGACTCTGTGGTCATATGTCGGTAGGTAACCTCGAGATGGTTCCTCTTGTTTCTTCACTAATGCATAGCAGGGAGACTCTTGAGTGATATTCTTGTGATGCCTTCCAAGGCGCTTCTGAATAACATATTCATCGAGATCCCACCATGGATGCGAACAATTTTAATCATACAATTGGCAATGGTAGTAAAATTACCAAGTCTTCGCCGTGTCTGTCGTAGGATTTGATGTCGTTGTTGTCGAAAGTTATTGGCATTGCTTCCAATTTTCTATCATGCTAAGGTCGGGTGTCTTTAAGGATAGGAGTCTTTGAGCTATGTTCGTTTACTCGCTATTTGGATAGAGAGTATGTTAGTCCACAAATATGTTGATCCCCTTCACAGTGTCTTGGAGGTTTGAGTGAGCACTGGCTCGATGTTGGCTTGGACGTCACAACCTTTCTCCGATATCAAGTCCTTCAAATGTCTCCTTTACAATAGCTAGGACCTCCTTCCATAGCCGAAGCAATCGTCCATATTGTGTCCATATTTGTCATATAAGCTTTGGGAGAAGTGGCTAGAACATAGAGCCCACGATCACATTTTCCTTGTGCTAGGACTTGCTTCGTTGTTCGATCCTGAATAAAAAATGAATGAGCAGAGAAAAGAACATCCACATGATTGTCATGCGTTAGTTTACTAATAGATAATAAATTTTTGGTGAGGCGGGGAACCACCAAAACATCCCGCAAGTGAATACCATTAGCAATTGTTGAAGAACCAATAGAAGAGATTTTGAGTGTATTACCATTTCCAAATTGGACCGAAGAATCACCACCATACGGCTCGGCATTAGCCAMTGATCCGGTGGAAGACACCATGTGATCGGAGGCGCCGGAATCAACAAACCAATCCGGGCCGGAAGGAGTAACTTGGCACTTGGCTAAAAAGGCTTTGGCGAGCTCAGCATCACGCATGGGTGAAGGGGACGCAAAAGATGCAAGTTGAGGGCATTGGTTCGCGTAGTGGCCATTTTGGCGACAAAGTTGACAATGAGGCGTCCACGACCGCGACCACCACGAAACGAGCGACCACCCCGACCCCGACCACCATCCGAACCCGAGGAGGGAGTGGCGCCGRCAGAAAAAGCGACCGAGGGAGTGGTGTCGCCGTGAATGGATTTGAGAAAAATTTCATGACCCTCGGCCCTAGCCAACAAGTCGCGAAACCCAAAACCAGCCCCGGAGGCACGGATGGCGGTGGAAAAATTCTCAAACGAGGCACCGAGACCGCAAAGAAACCAATGGGTTTTGTCGATTTCCGCCACCCCTTGACCAATGGCAGCAAGTTGATCACAAACGGTTTTGAATTTTCRGCCAAATTCAGAAACGGTGGAGGAACCCTTGGTAAGATGGCGGAGTTGATCACGGAGATTTTGGGCACGCTCCAAGGAGGAGTTGCCATAGGCGGCTTCAAGGGCTACCCAAWTTTCACGAGCCRTTGAGAGGCCCACAATCTCAGAAACAGCTTCTTCCGTGAGAGAAGCTTGAAGAAGAATAACAGCCCTTTGATCGGTGGAGACCCACTCCGCCAAAGCCGGATTCAAGGTCGGCTTGTTATCAACCAAAATGGAGGGCGGTGGGGACGGAACRGAGCCGTCAACATGACCAAGAAGTTGCTGGTAGTTTAGAAGAGGGATCAGTTGATTTTTCCACATAAGATAATTGGATGAATTAAGGCGAATGGTGATGAGATGCAAGATGGTGTTCATGGGTAGAGTGGAATCATTGGAGTTGGCCATGATGATGAAGCCGAAAAGTGAGGAAGAAAAAGGGAGGGACGGTTTTAGTGGGAGGGAAAGAGAAGGGTGGGAGTTACAAGGCTCTGATACCAAGAGAACTTGTGAATCTCCATGTCAAATGACATGAGAGTTACGTGTAATAAATAGACAAATAAATTACAGGTACACCCCTCTAACAAATGAATAAATACATAATAGTACAACAACTATATTTGTCTAATAAGTAGCACCATTTTATTTATCAAACTCATGAACATGGTTCCTTCAGTAAAGCACAAATTGAGTATTTGTATACCTTCTGATGTATCCACATCCAACTCCACTTATTAAGTCTCAGAGGTCGTTCAGTTCGTTTTGCATTAAGACTTGTATGATGTCTGTATTGATAAAGTTGTATGTGTGATAATAGATACGTTGTTGTTTGGTTGTTGGGCTCAATAAACAGTTTGAATGTCAGAAATGACCATTTTCAACTCCTCCATCTTTGTTTTTGTCTGAATAAATAATTGTTTAACAAAAATAATGAATAGATGAGTTTTAATGATAAAAAACATAATATTTTAAACGTTTTATAAATAAAAATAACTTGATCTAACATAATAATAAGAATTCAATGTTATAATAGAATTCACAGTGCTTCATGCTCCATTGCACACACTCTAGTAATTTCCCCTCTACTCCCAAACCTTCTCAAGCATCATGGATAATTGATTCATTATGGCTTTATTTTTTTGAAAATCAATTTCCAAGAAAATAACAACAAACATTAGGCATGTGAATGAGGCGCGACCCATTAGGGAACCCGGTGTATCCACACCGAAAGGGTCAAGGATTCCTTGCAAAACGGGGGACCCAGGATGAGGACGGGGATCCCCAAAAGTTAATAACCAGGGATGGGGATGGGGATGGGGATGGGGATGGGTGGGGTGGGGTAATGTGATCCCCGACCCGGCGGTACTGTGATCTTTGACCAGTCCCGTCCCCATATATTAAATATATTATATATTAATTATATTGTATATTTATTACATTTTTGTCAAAAGAAGCTTTTATAAAACTTTTCTTTAGATTACTTTCGGCTGCTTTTATAAAGCATTACTGTTTCCTTTTTGACTTTCATAAAAGTCTTTTGGCTTGTCCTCAGCCATTTTTCTTTTCTTTCTTTTTACTCGTCTATATAAGCAGAGGCATGTCTCTATTATAGATCAGAGTTTTCCGGAGGAAGCAAGAGTTTTCCTTTCCTCTTTTCTGTTCCTGTTTTGTAAGGTGTGCTAAAGAAATAAAACGAACAAGCTTGCCGACAGTGGTTAAGCCTTTTGTAAGTTCAAGATTCAGTTCTTTTTTATTCCTCTTATTTACTTCCAGTTTATTGCCGCCTTCATGGCCGGCTAAATTAGGACTATGAGTTAAAACATGTTTTTGATTTGATATATCAATAAATTATACATGGAATAGTAGTTTTTATGTTTAAGATGTAATGAAGATCTTCATTAAACAGTCAAGTCTACCTCTGAGATCTCTGATACTGGTTTCCACCAGCTGAGGCCAAGAGAGCCACTTAGGGTATTTAAAACCTTGGTTTGAGATTATGAGGCTAGCTTCTCTGTTTTGATTATTTTCGTTAGATCTGGTTTAAAGAAAATTAAAGATCCTCTTCTTTGTTCTGAAATTTTAGATACTCTAGAGCTTGATAAACCTAGTACTTCTAGTCATCCTATTATTCCTATCAATAATATTGATTATTCTATGAAAGAAGTTAATCGTCTTCTTCAAAATCAACATTTTCATTCTAAGGAAATTTCGATGGCCGATCTTAACAGAGAAGTTAATATTCTTAAAAAGGAGATTGATGCTTTAAAAAGTGATAATATTCTTCTTCACAAGCATCTTACAATTATTTCTGCAAATTATGATTTATTAATAAAAAAATACCCCTTTTTGTGCTTCTGAAGAACCTTCTTCCTCTAATGAGAATATTCCTCCTCCTTCTGAGCATATGCT